AAACTATAAATAACAGTTCATATTTCATATATTTACTTTTGTTGATGCTTATTGAAGGTTTCGTTTAAGAATACAGATAGAAGGGTTAGTCTCCAAATGGTAGATAATTGAAAAGGAAAAAATGATGGATAAAAGATATGGAAGATGTTTTGAGGTATAGAGGAGGGTGGGTAAAGGAGTTTGCTCTGACTGGCTTGAATCTTCAATTCAAATTAATTCAAATCCCAGCAGGGGTGTGCTGAAGCCAGCTGTTGTTACAGGCTGATTGTTAAATTTTCAGTACGAGCATTTACATCTCAGAAACCTTCAAACTACAGATGAGGGCTTAATTTATATTTTGGTGACTTTCTAGACTTAAGAAAGTGAAGGAAAAACCATTAATACTGTAGATTAAACTTAAAAGTATGTCCTTACACAGTTTTTTTTCCCAGAGAGTGTTCATTTTTTTTCCCTTCCATCTCCCCCCATCCAATGGAAAAAAAAATAAACAGAACTCTGTATTACATAAGCATAGTCGAGCAAAATACATTTTCTCTTTGGCCTTGTGTAAAAATAAATTTCTTATTCTGCTTATTAGTCTATCATCTATCTCTCTGTTATGAAGTGTGCAGTATTCTTTTTGATTTGTTGTCCGGAATCATGGTCAATCATTTAGTTGATTGTGGTTCTTAAGTCTTTTGTAATTGTCCATTTTTATAATATATATAATGTAGCATATATATATATATATAAAAATGTATTACATATATATAAATGTATTATATATATAAATGTATTATATATATAAATGTATTATATATATAAATATATTATATATATAAATGTATTATATATATATATACATATACATACATAAAATCTTGCCTCTGACATAGTAGCTGTGTGACCCTATGCAAATGACTTAACCTCTAATTTTTCCACGATAGAAGACTCAAACACTAGGATCAACAGTTCTGAGCAAGTTGAACCAGATTAAAATTGAGAATGTGGATTGTGAAATGTTTAAAAAGAAACAAAAATATGATAAAATGTAGATAACATTTTTTAAAGCTAAGTCAATATGCACCAGGCAGGGATCCTTGACAAATTAGTGCCTCATTGTTGTTCTCTCTCTCAATTTGGAGATTTCATCTATTTTCATGCCACAGAAAAACTCAGTTTCTATATCAATAATGCCTAAATCTTCATGCCTGCCCTCTTTGCTGAGTCCTACATCTGCTTCTCGACATCTCCACTCCTGGGGAAGGATACTACATATCTCTATCTATCTATCTATCAACCAACCTATCTGTCTATATGTATCCATCTATGTGTCTGTCTATCTGTCTATCTATCTCTTCTATCTATCTATCCTATATCCATCTATGTGTCTATCTATCTACCTATTTATACACACACACACACACACACACACACACACACAGAGGCTCTGATCCTTCCTTCCTCCCTTGCCAAACACCTGTCTACCTTGCTATGCTCTGGTTTGTGTCCACTAAAGAGGCTAAGGTGAAGAGGAGTTCAAAAGAAGGGAAAAAAGTAGCTTATTCATGCCATCCATTACAGAGACATAATGGATTTAGGGTGCGGAATGAGAATTTTTTCCCCCATAACCATTGAGAGCGTTTATTTTGCTTGACTGTGTATTTGTTACAAGGAATTTTTTTTCTTTTCTTTTCTTTTTTCGGTGGGATAAGGATGGAGTCCTTTATGATCTACCAAGGCATCCCAAAACAACAGTTCATCCAAAAGCCAGCCATCTTTAGGGCAGCCTCAGTCAGGACAATCAGGAATTGTCAATTGACCTCTTAACAAAATGCCAATTTGCATGCATATCCATGTTCTATAGGAGGAGGTAAAAGCTCAAACTGATTTAGGGAACCTCTTCATTAATGTCATCTTTCCCTTCCCGGCCTTACAAAGTTATGGCACAATATGGGACTTGGAGCTACCAGTGGTGCCAGCTGAAAGGTCTGGGTCACAAGGGGTTTACCACAATGGGCAAAAATCAACAAGTATTTACTATATGCTAGGCACTGTGTTAATCATTAGAGATACAAAGGAAAGACAAAAGCAGCCCTTGCCCTTAGGAAAGCTTGCCTTCTGTAAAGGATGACAAGTCATATGTCAAGCAAGGGCAAAGAGATCAAGGGATCACAGAATTCATAGTCAGGAGACATTTTTGGTATCATCTGGCTCTACCTTTTTATTTTATAGATGTAACAACTGAGATCTCAAGGAGTGAAATGACTTACCTATATTCACACAAATACCAAGTAGCTGAGCTGCTATGATAATGGGAGATAATAGTTATGGAAACACTCTGTAAATACTTGGTTTTACTTAGTGGATTTTTTAAAAAGTTATATTGATATGTATCGGTTTTGTATTACATACATTTACAGATTATTCACACTTCTTGAGTTGTGTTTCATGATAAAGTAAAACAGTCAAGCACAACTAATAATACAATGACCTCATCTAAAAGAACATTTCACATCTGTAGCAACCCCCATCTCTCTAGTTTAAAAAGTGGACAGAAACCTATTTTGACTCTCTTACCTCATTGGGGAAAAAAAAAAGAAAAACTCTTGTAATAAATATGCATAGTCAAGGAAAACAAATCCCTTCAATGATTATATACCACAAATAAAAAATAAAATAAGTCTTTATTTATATCCTAAATCCATTGTATCTCTGTAATGAATAGTGTGTTTCATCATTGGTCTGATATTGGTCTCATAAATGGTCATTATATGGATCATAGTTTTTAGAGCTTTCAAAATTGTTTTTATAGTATTGCTATTATATAATTTTTTTCTCTTGGTTCTGCTAATTTCATCAGTTTATAAAAGTCTTCAAAAATATTCATTTTTTGAATATTAATGCTATGATATAAAATGTTCTTTGGGTTCTGCTTATTTCAGTCTGCAATTTGGCCAATCTAGGTACCTCTTCCAATGGTTTTTGTAAACCATTCACACTTCTCATCCTATGAAGTTCTTTTCTATGGCCACCTAAGGATTCTCACAACTTGCTGAAGACATTCTTCTAGGCCTCTTAACATTCCATGTTAAGTACTTAGGTGTTTTTTTTTGTTTTGTTTTACTTTTAGAAAATTGGGGTTAAGGGACTTGCCCAGGGTCACACAGCCAGTAAGGGTCAAATGTTTGCTCTGAGGCCGGATTTGAACTCAGGTCTTCCTGTCTTCAGAGCTGGTGCTCTATCCACTGTGCCACCTAGCTGCCCTGATGTTAAGTACTTGGAATGAGCATCTAGTGTGCACTACTCACTCTACATGACTTTCTCACCTCTTTTTCTGAATGTCTTTTATACATCTTTTCCTGGATATTTTGCACTTAACACAATTTCAAACAATTCTCAGCCCCATTTTCCTTCTGTGTCCACCATGATGTGTGCAGAGTAGCAGAAAAGACAGAAGAGGGTACTAAGAATCATATGACCCTTAGATGGTGAATAAGCATTCGTTTAATTACTGGTACCTAAATATAGAACATGGAGAGTCCTGGTCTAACAACCCAAATGTTGCCATGAGAATGTAAGAACTGAAACATTTCAGTGTTGCTGTTCTTGTTTCAAATGAAACCAGAAGACACAAGACAATTGCCGCTAAGTATAAGCCATCTCTATTTTTTAATCATCACTATTAGCATTGTTGTTGTTAATTAAAATTAGAAGACAATGAGAGGATCAGACAATATGATGTAGTGACCAGAGAACTAGTTCTATGGCAGAAACCTGGGTTTCAGTGTTGCTTCTGATACATAGTGGTTGTGTGACTGCAGGCAGGCCAATTAACTTCTCAGTACCCCAGACAACTCTAAGACTATACTTTACAAAGTAGGTGCCAGTATGCATTGGTAGAATGAGTCTCCTCATCAGAAATTCTCTACAGCAATGAAATTACATGTTGAGTTTAAAAAAATAGAGGGTCACTTCCTATCGGAGATATTAAGACAGTGGCTGTTCACTTCAGTTACAGCTGAGAAAGGGTGACATGGTGGATGCCAATATCCACACAGAAAGAGCAAAGCCAGACATCTCCAGCTTCCCAAAGAGTGCAAGGGCTAAGATTCCAGAGAGCTTTCAGCTCCATATGAAGAAGCACTGACGTTAAAAGAAGAATTGTGATCAAAGTCTATCCAGTGCAACTGTGGAATCTCCAGCCCTAGTGACCTTGAAGGAAAAACAACTCCATATTAGATGACTGGGACATGATACCATTGAGAGGTCAGAGGCTTATGTCTTCAGGTTCCTTCTAGTCGGAGAATCCTGTGTGTCCATCAATGCCTCCTATTTAGATAAGTCAGCCTTTTGCCAAGATCTGTTTAATGAAACTTAGATGTTCTCTGTGGGGTGGATTCACTTCCTTCTTAGCAGCAGAGAGGAAAGGCACCTTTTGCCGCTCCCATTGTGTTTGTGAAGAAGGTGACCATTGTGGCACAGGCAGAACTGGAGCAGTTGAATTATGCGGAAAGTCCATTTCAGCCATTCCAGTCACAGTGGAATTTAGAGAGAAAAGCAAGATTTTTGTCTACTCTCTACCCCTCATCCCCACAGAATCCCTGTGATTTCACCAAAGCTCTGCAGCCTCTGAAAGAAGACTTGACCACATTAAACTACAGTTTTGGTGGAAACAAGTTCTAAGTGAAGTACTATCACCTTGTAATTAAATAGAATATATCATCATAGAATTCCATAATCTGAATGTTGGAAGGGCCTCAGAAGCCACTGAGCCCAACTCATACCTAAATACAAACATCCTCTAAACCATGTTGGACAAAAGGTCAGCCAGTCTTTGCTTTAAGACCTTCAGAGAGGGAAGACTCGCTCCCTTCAAGGCAGCCCATTCCATTTTGGGATTGCTCTAATGGTTAGTAGATTCTTCTTGACATCAAGAAATTTCTCTGGAATTTCTACCCATTTCTCCAAGTTCTCCCTTCTAGAATCAAACAGAACAAATCAAATCTCTCTTCCACCAGGTCCCCTCAAACACTTGAAGACCGCCCTCACATCTCCCCTTCAGGCTGTGGCTGTTGTTTGTTCTTCATTCTCAAAGAAGACCATGACATCAGGGAGGTGATTCCATGACCTCTTCAGGCTCTACATAGATGGGTAAAGCATTTATTAAGCTCTGACTGTGTACCAAGCACTGTGATAGGAACAGAGATAGAGAGGCTGGAAGGGACTTGAGGTCACAGAATCCATTTCCCTCAATTTACAGATGAGGAAACTGAATCCTTGAGGCATGAAATGACTTTCCAAGGTCACAGAAGTAGTAAGTAGCTAAGCTGAGGTTCACACCCAGATTCTGTAACTTCAAATCCAATGCTCTTCTTTCGGCTGAGTTATGGGTTCCTATATAACTATGTCGAGAACAGGTGAGAAGATGTCACTTTTCCAGAGGGAAGAAAAGGAAAAACCCATAAACCTTCTTCAAGGATTTCTTTGCTAACTCCAGTTAGTGGCATGTGATATAAATGAGGGGGCAGTGCTGGAGACTCCAAGCCGTGTATTTCCTGGGGATTAGGCATGATAATATGTCCTGCAGAGAAAAATGATACTTTGCACTTGTATAATACCTCCCTTCCATCCAACAATAATAATAACACTTTGTACTTTCAGCCAAGTGTTGGTAGAGGGAGTTCCTTGTATCAATGAAATCACAGGTCTAGGCCCAATCCCCTATCCTGTTGCAAAGTTCTTAACAAATGTTTAACTCAGGCGAGCCTCACAACACCCATGGAAAGGAAGGAAGAAAGCCCTTTTATCCTGATGATTCAGATGGGAAATCTAAGGTCACTGGGAGTCAGTCCACACCTTGAATGAGTGACACAGTTGGCAGGACTCCTGACGCCCAAAGCAGCTCTTTCTTTGGGACACTGTCTGGGCCACGGCCCTCCCAAAAGCCAGGGGAAAGGCTCAACGGCCTCTTCCTCTCCTTTCCAGCCCCATAAATCATGGCTGCTTTCAAGAGCAGTTTGGGTTTGAGTTGTTTCCAGGAGTTTTCTGAGGGATGTGGTTTTGGTCAAATAAAAAAAAAGTTTTAGGGAAAGCCCACAGTTTTTTTTTCCTTTTTCCCCTGTAGAGTTGAAAGCATTACTCCAGAAGTTGGCTCTGGATCTCCAAGGCCCGTCTGTATTCCCTTAGAGCCCCAAGAATCTCTAACTCCCAGACTCCTAGAATATCAAATCTAAAAGGGATCATAGAGATCATTTAGTCCTTCTTCTTTATTTTACAGATGAGGAAATTCAGTCCCAAAGAGGGCAAGCAGTTCATCCAATGGCCCCCAGCAAGTGAATTGTTAAACCAGCCTTCAGACCACATCTCCTGACACCAAGTGCACAGTGTTCTTTCCACTGTCATAGAGTTCCACCTAGATCATAGAATCTGACTGCAGCAAACACACAACCAATCTTACCATGGAGAAAGTGTTGGCTATAGTGCCCGAGGACCTACTTCAAATACTGCCTCTGCTGTTTATTATCTGCGTGACACTGGGCAAGTAACTCTGGACTTCAGTTCTGTCATCTATTAAATAGGGGTATGAGTACTAGCCAAGTTGACCTTCACAGGAGAGTTAAATGGTATTCTGGCAAACTTGATCTGATGGGAACATGCAGGATGAATGGGGGTGAGGGGTTGAAAATGGAGTTGAGGAGCTAGCATCTAAAATAAATAAGATGTTTTTAATTGTTTGCAGAGATTTATGGAAGATCTAAATGAATGAAGATCTGACCAGTGTGACATGATCTTTACCATTACTTAACCTGGAGTAGGCTTCTGTAGGAGAAACTCTGCTTCAGAAGCTAGCAGGCATCCCTTTAGTCTGGGGCTGCTCTGAGAGGGGACAGGAGACTGGGGTGCTATCACTGCTGATTCCCATTATCTGCAGGACACATTCCATTAGAGGACAGAAGTGATCCTCTTTCTCAATATACTCTTTTCTCTTGGCTTCAGAGACACCATACTCCACTGATTTTCCTCCTATTCCTCTGATCACATTTCTGACTCGTTTGCTGGGTTCTCTTGCTAAACCCTAATGTTCTTTTTCCCCCAAAGTTCCATCCTCAACACTCTCCTCTTGTCACTTTATACTCTCTGCCCTGGCAATTTCATTCATTCCCATGGCCTTCAACTACAACTCCACGAAGGTGACTCCCAGATTTTTATCTCTGTCCCTGAACTCTCTCTTGAGACTCCAAGATAGTGTTATCTAGATATTGAACAACCCCCTCAAACTCAACCTATTCAAAACTAAACTTCTCTTTCTCCCTAAATGCTCTCTATTTTCTGTCTCTTTCAAGGGCAATGCCTTTCAGATTTCCACTTTGAAATCTTGGTGTTGTCTTTGGTTTTTCCCTCTCCATAACCCCCCTCTCCCCAATATCCAATCAACTATTGGATTGGATTGGTCATGTTGTTTCTACAACTTTCTTTTCTCTTGAATCTGTTTCTTTGCTTACATTCGCTATCCTAGGCCAAGGCTACATTACCACTGGACTCCTAACTAGTTTTCCACTTCTATTTTCCCCTCTCTAATATGTCCTTCATATAATCTTTCTTTTTTTAAAATTATTTATTTTTTAGTTTTCAACATTCACCTTTATAGGATTTTGATTTTCCCTCCCCAAGATGGCAGGCAATCGGATATAGGCTATATGTGTACAATCATCACATAATCAATCCATCCACTCATGTCATCATCCAGTAACATCATTCTCTTTCAAGACCCTTCAATGGCTTCCTATTGTCTATGGAGTCAAGTGACAGCAATTTGTTCTGACAGTCAAGAACCTCTCTAATCTGACCTAGCCAAATATTTCCAGCCTTATCTCATTATTAGCTCCGTGAAGCCCACACTCTGCTCAAATGGTATCATGTTTGTCACATGTTCTGCCTCTGATTTTTGCCAAGTTACCTACTCATAACCATCCTTTCCCCTTCCCATTTCAATGTTCTCCTTTTGAAATCTATCCATTCTTTAAGACACAGTTTAAATACAATCACCTTCATGGAGCCTTCCCAGTTTCCTTAATCAGTAATGATCCTTCTTCCCTGGGAATTCAGATAACAATTGGTTTTCTTCTCTTTATCCTCTTATCTTGCTTACTTCTCTCTTATACTTATTTTTTGCTGCCTTATCCTACCTCCCTATATATATATATATATATATATCCAGCCTCCCTACCATTTTGTGAGTTCCATCAGGGCACCCAGTCTCTTATTTAAACTTTGCATTCCTCTTGGTTGAGGCAGCCTCATGTAGTGGGTAGAGAGAATCAGCCTTGAAACCACAACATAATTCCCCCAGTGCTTTACTTAGCACAGGGCTGTCTGTGCCCTGTGGGTCTGAATGGAAAGGCTCAGGAGCCCTTTTTTCAAGTCTTTCTCTTTGCTTCTCACTAGCTGTGTGACATTGGGCAACGTCTCTTTGGGCTGGAGCTTCTTTCTCTGTAAATTGTTTTATCCTTGAGCTTTACTGACTTGAGCTCTGGGAGATGACAGACCTCCATCAATAGTGTCTGGGCCAGACAAATGACGGTTATTATATGAAAGTTTCATAATAGGAACATAGAACTTCTTTGCTTACTGTATTTCCGAGTGGCTCATCTTAGGGAGGGCAGTGATGAATTGGGTGATTCAAGAGGAGGGGAGGGTGGTCAGGACAGTGGGGGAGACAGAGGTCATAACACATAGGATCAGTTGAAGTGGTATATTTAGCCTGGAGGAGAGAAGACTTGGAGGAAAGGCAATGCACAGAGAGGGAGGATAAGGCAGCTGTCTTTGAGTATGTGAAGAGTAGTCAGGTAGAAAAGTTAGCTTGGACTCACATGGCAGAACCAGGAAGCTCATAAGACTATAGATTTAGAACTGGAAATGACTATGGAGTTCATCTAGTCTAACCACCTAGTTTTTATTTTATTTTTTTATTTTAGGCAATTGGGGTTAAGTGACTTGCCCAGGGTCACACAGCTAGTAAGTGTCTGAGGTCACATTTGAATTCAGGTCCCCCTAACTTCAGGTCTGGTGCTCTATCCACTGTGCCACCTAGCTGCCCCTAACTATCTAATATTTACAGATGATGAAACTGAAGTCCAGAGCAGTTAAGGAACTGGCCCCAATCACAAAGGGCAAAAATGACAGAGATGGGATTTTTAACCCGAGTCGGTTGACTAATTATAGTCAGGTGGCGTTTATCAGGTATGTTGTCATAAGGTATGGTTGGATTAATAATAACAATAGCTTTAAAGATGGCAAATGCTTTACGAATATTATCTCATTTGATCCTCCCGATAACCCTGGGAGTTAGGTGTTATTATCATCTCCATTTTACAGATGGGGAAACTGAGGCAGACAGAGGTTAAGCGATGTGCTCAGGGTGACACTGCCAGGAAGTATCTGAGACTGGATTTGAACTCAGATCTTCCTATGCTGAGGTCCCAAGCTCTACCTACTATGCCACCCAGCCATCCGCTTCCAACTCTCAGATGCTGTGAATCAATGAGAGGATCAACTTCCTAACAAGTAGAAGTTCCTAGAAGTGGAATGGGCTATCTCTGGACAAAGAAGGTTCCTCCCCTACAGGTGTCTTCAAGCATAGACTTGATGGCTGCTTTTTAAAAATGTGAGAGAGGATTTACATTCCAAAGTTCCTTGCAACTGTGAGATTCCTCATGGGGCAGTGGAAAGCATCCTGCAATTTGAGTCAAGTGTGACCTTGGTCAGGTCCCTTCACTCTTCTGGACCTCAGTTTCTTCATCTGTAAAACTGGAAGGTTGAACTGGATGACCTCTGAAATCCTTTCTAGTTCTAAATCTATTATTTTAAGTGTGTGGCAGGGGAGAAGTTTGCCTCTGAAGTTTTCCTGGGTTACTCTCTGGTTGTCCTTTTCCTTATAGAAAGGGGCAGTGTGGTGCAATGGATAATACTGGATTTGGAGTCAGGAACACTTGAGTTCAAATCCTACCTCAGATGCTTACTAAAAGTGTGACCTCAAACGAATCACTAAACTTTCAGCCTCAGTTTCCCCACCTGTAAAATGAGGAGGTTGGAATCAATGGTCCCTTTCTCCACCAAATCTATGGTACTACAGCTTATAGTTGGGGGATACCGTTTGAATCATCTTCATTCAGCAAGAGAAGCTCAGGTTCAAATACAATTCCATTTCCAGAAGAATGTCAAGGTAGGCTTTAGATAAGGCCTTTCTATGTCTAGCTGTAGGATAGCAGAGAGCAAGACAGTCCTTGCTCCCAGACAGGTCGAAGACCACTGCTCCAGGGTGTGGATCAATGGGCTAGGGCAGGAATAGACTTTTGGGTTGGATGCCTCAGAGTCACACACAGTCTGTCTTGTGGGATTTTATGCCTACCTAGGAGGCAGTGTGTCCTGGAAAGAAGCTTCCCTTGTAAGGGAGGAAATAAGTCTGGAAAAACCAACCTAAATGTGGGATGATTTTGGCTGCTACTTCAAAAAAGACAGCAATGCTGAAATAGACAAGTCAAGGGGGAAAAAAAGAAAGAAAACAACTTTCATTTCGCACAAAGACCCTTGGTCATGGGAGATGAATTGGGTCAGGTCTGTCCTGGGCCAACGGCTTACTTCTTGGGGGGACCCTGAAGTCACTTGTTTGGCTCTGCTGCCTGTAGGGTAATAGAGAGTATTCATTAACAAGTATGAAATTCACCACCAGATTATTTTTGTCTCTGCTGCCAAAGGGTGTTTCTTGTTAGTGTTTGGGAGATGTGCTCAAATAATCCCACACGAAAAATTGGAGACTAGTCTGAGTTGGGTGGGGAGGGTGGGGAGAATTGGATGTGGATGGGGAGTAGGGGTGGTGGTGGTTGAGTAATAGGCATACTTATGATTCTAGCCCAAGCAGACCCCACATTGTAAGGTGGCTGACAAAAGGGACCCTTCTGCCTTGTAGATCTGTGTATCTTCTAGCAATCATACTAAGAAGCTCTAACTTCTTGGTTAAGTCCTTACCTGTCTGACTGGGTTATTCCAAGCACAGAGTTTTTCTCCTCCTCTCTTTTTTCTTTTCACACTCTTTTTTTTCTTTTTTGTTATTCTGAGCTTGATGTGAACGTTTCCATTTACAAAGATGAAGAGAAAAAGAAGATCATATGTGAAACTGAAATTCTCTATTTTGCACAGCTTGCTTTTTTAAAAAAAAGTATGCAACATATTCATTAGGTGACTCTTCATCTTTAGGCCTTTCCTCAGGACAGATAATTGCCTATTCACTGAAGGGCTTAGAAATTTATTTAAATGTCCTAGTTGAAAGGTACAAGTTACAATTTTAAACTGGAAAGTTTCTTTTATGTAGGGGGTACTTATCCCAACTTATACCCGCAGGTTGGATACATAGAGTGAAGTTACATCTTCCTTCAGGGCTCTAGAGATAACTCTAAGCAGTTGGGAGAGTATTTCTCTCTAATATTATTATTCTGAGCCCCCATCTGTGGTATTCCCCAATATCAATTGTCAGAGATGATTGTCCCAATATAATTTGCCAATGGCAGTTAGTGTTTTCCAATATTATTTAATTAGTTGATATTTCCTTGGTACCACCAATCAGTCATCAGAAAATAGTTAACATTAATTAGATTTTACAAAAGGATATTTATTGAGAAGGTATGGCAAAAATG